GTCCAAAAGACTACAACATATGGGCCAATCGCGGTCATCCGTGCTTTTATAAGAACGAAACGGCGCTTTTAGTGACATTTTGCATACAAATCCCCATCTAGTAGGGCGCAGTCACCCAGTTTCGGTGGAAGTGCGCGAGTTCGATTGGGATTCAAGTAGGAAGGGAGCGTCTCAGCTTTCTCGGACCAAGACCATTCGACTCAGCACCCCGAAGACTACAACTGGTGAAATTTTAATTTTTGCCTTAACTTCCCCTTTAACACGTGCCAGCACCACAGGTCGTGGGAGGGGGGGGGGGGGTAGATCACCAACATGTTTCCCTAAAATACCTATAGAAAGATCATAAAATCAAAATTTCTTAGTACTGGTGGTGTTCTGTGCACTGAGCAATGACAGAGGGATTCCGGTTTACGTTGCAAGAATAACAGAGGGGTACGTTTACGTTTGAGAATAATGCCCCGATTTCAAACAAGAATCCCTAGCTTATCTCGTACTAGTAGAGACGCTTTGCTGAGCAAAACTTTGCATGGATTACCGCGTCTGGGCTTGCAAATATTTCTGCGAACGTTTGCGCGAAATTTGTATTTTGCATGATTTTCGTTCCAGGAAAGTACGCGTGTACTCGCGCTTGTTTGAGAAGTCGTCTTCATCCGATTATTTATTTTTGCAAGTGGCAGCACCCTGCGACGAGAACTCTTTGACTACGTTGTCCATGACCGGACACCCACAGACAAACGGGTTTGCCTGTGCTGTAATCCGGCGCATCAACACCTGAAAATCAAGAAAACAGGGATCATTGATATAACCGACTCTGAAAAGACGACCAGGGTAGGAGATCGGACATGGTTCCGGAGATTAAGCAACACGGGCTGCCATATGGGAAAGCTAGCACTGGAGGACCAAGCCAAGAGTGTATCTACTGGATTGTGAAAGATGAAGCACCAAACATTGCATGAGCGTGGTTCACCAATAGTCACTGGCCCGTGATCAGCGAAAATAACTGCGAAAATTTGTTTCGTATTTCCTTCAACTTTCGGGTTCACAGCTGCGAACGTTCGTGCGAAGTTGCTTCTCGCGACGCCAATCGAAAATGTACGCGAACTTTTGCTCAGCAAAACCTCTCTAGTGGTTATTGTAAAACTCTAAAATTAACAACAAAGTCATGTTCCACTGATAGCGGATTTTCCACAGTGGTGTTGATGACCATCTTGACCTTGTGAGATCTTTTGGAGGTCATTGAATGATGGCTGGTAGCCTTGGGCTCAGTATTTCCATGGAAATGTTCAAATTTATGACTGCCGCTAAAGTACCTTGCAATCTTCGCTCGCCAACAACTACTGTACTAAGTCTCAGTTGAACATTTTGTCTGGAAAGTGGCATTCTCTGGAATACTGCACTATAGCTGCGGCATAGCAATGAGAAAAACTGACTCCGACTGAAGCAATGTTTGCGATTTCGAAGTAATTGAAGTTTGGAAAATGAAAGCCTGAGCAGCCACAGAAAGTAATTCAAGTATGGAAGGGGACGGTGTGGTTTCCGTCCAGCACTGCACTATTTGGTGCATAGATGCGCGTGCGAACTGAAGTGCTTAATTGCATGAAGTGCATGACAATACAGGGTGTGCACATGCACGCCGTGTGCATGCATGTGCTGCACGGCATGCATGCCGGGTGTGCCTGCTTGCACAACTCACATGCTTTCACCGTCACAGCTTCTACAGTGTGCGCTCGATTCACTCGATTTTTACGTCCACCACCGGGAAATCGCTGTGGGCTGGCTTCTGTGATAATGTTCCTTCTACTGCGATAAAGTGCGAGGCTAAATGTTCTAGAATCCTCTTCTTTTACACTAATCCGAGGCTGCTGAACACGAAAATTGGGTGTACCTGCCGGGGTCGAGTTTGCCTCTGGTCGAGATCAGTACTTCTCTATGCCTCTGTGCAAACCGCGACTCCACCTTTTTTGTTCAAGCATGGCATGTGTGGCATCAATGGAAAGGCAATGACCTCAGCTACCTAAAACAGCATTGACAAGGGAGTACTGGCCACGGGATCAGATAGAAGCGGGGTCAAAGTCAGGCCAAAGAGATCCCACGCGGGGCCCCATTTAACCCTTTGTGTACGGACTGTACAGCTTTCGATCCCCTGGGATCGAAACTTTTCAAAATTTCAATCGGAACTCAGCCATTACTGGGTTATTTCCAAAAACTAACATAGTATGTACGTCGAAGAGAAAACTCTCAGCTGTCCATTAAACACCACCAAAGTTGAACACATTGCAGTAAAAGTATAGCAACAACATACCTGTGTGGGACAAAATGGAGAGCATTTCCTTGCTCTTGTCCACATACCCAAGTTCCTCAATGACAACACTGAGATCACGATACGTGTTTAGGCCACCAGCTCTGAGCAACTGGATGAGCTTCTCATTATGATCAGATATTCCATCCCGGGACAGAATTCTCTTCAGTCCCTCTATTGATGCGCTGTCAGTTATGAGATGTTTCTTGATCACCATCCGTCGCAGTCGATCTGCGTCAACTGTGTTCAACCATGGTTGAATGTCACACACAAACCTTTCCAGGTCAAACGGATTGTCTGTTGCAAAAGCAGCAAAATACAGAAGGCGCAGATTTCACATGAACACACAACTGCACACAACTGCATGTCAAGAGACAAATAAAAATGGAATTGCACAACACCGATAATACATGGAAAGGAATTTGAGTGGACACACCCATTCCAATAGCGCTTCACATCAGAACAAGTTCCGCTATTTTACAACGTTTCGCCACTTGGCCATCGTCAGGTGATAAGAACAATGGACACACACACACACACTCACATGCACACACACACACTCACGTGCGCGCACACACACACACACATGCACACACACACACACACATTCCCAGAACCGCACAGCGGAGCGCTTCAGCGATTGTTTCAATGGACAGCTGGGAGTTTTCTTTGCGACCTACGTATCTTAGTGTTTGGAAATAACCCAGAAATGACTGAGTTACGATCGATTGAAATGTTGAAAAGTTTCGATCCCAGGGGATCGAAAGTTGTAGAGTCCGTACACAAAGGGTTAAAATGTACACGCGAGTTGTGACTGCAGTTTTCACCTGACCCAGGCTGGAACTGAACTCCCTAGCAATAATCTAGTGACCCATGACAGTGCTTCACGCCGGTGGCACCTGCATTTCTTGTAGATGTACAGAATCGTCATGTAGATCTGGTTATATCCTCAGGACTGTCCATCTAACTGAACCCACCGCATTCCCAGGGTCAGCTCTCAATACGATTGATGCGAATGCATAAACAAATTGATCTCTGTAAGCACTTCTCACTGCAAACAAGTAAGTACTGGCAGTGCTGCTCAATGAAATCCAGTCGTCGTGTCACTCAAGTTTGTGCCTTGCACCATTTTGCAGCCCAATGTTCGCAGGTCTAGGGCTGCGCAACACCCAGCGCGTACTTGAGTGATGCTGTGACTGGATTTCATTCCAGCGTGTACTTGAGTGACGCTGTGACTGGATTTCATTCCAGCATGTACTTGAGTGATGCTGGGACTGGATTTCATTCCAGCGTGTACTTGAGTGATGCTGTGACTGGATTTCATTCCAGCGTGTACTTGAGTGACGCTGTGACTGGATTTCATTCCAGCGTGTACTTGAGTGATGCTGTGACTGGATTTCATTCCAGCGCGTACTTGAGTGATGCTGTGACTGGATTTCATTGAACAGAACTGTTCATGCAAATGTACTGTCGTGGACATGGAAATCCCGTCGATTGACCGGGGCCGGCGCCCTCAGCGCGTACAGAACGCTGCGTGCAGGGCACATGATTGTTGATCCTTTACGACTAGCGCGCTGCAGCGCTTAAAATGCATGTGTGTACCGCTTATCCACGGCTGCATGGCCAGCACCCTGGGGCCGCTAGACGTGCGACCGGATTTCCATGTCCACGACAGTAGTAACATGCATGTTCAACGAGTTCCCCCCCCCCCCCCCTTCCACACACACACACACCTTCCTACGCCACTGTACTGTAGTCAATGTGAACACTTACCGGAGGACGGGTCACGTGTTGACTCACGATCTGCCGACATTGGCTTCGTTGGACGGTCAGTTTTCCCACTGGCAGTTGCTTTGCGTCGGTTCGCCATGGTACTGGCAATATGCTCCGCTACATGAGGCTGGCTGTGTTGAATCAAATTCAGGAACGTATCCACCTGTTCCTCCGTTTTCGTTAGCATCAGCCTCACCACATACTTGGAATGATCCCACTTCTCGTTTTCCTTGCCTGAGGCAGTAACGTATTCCTCCTCGCTGAGGACATCATTCTCCAGCAGGTCTTCCAAGATCAGTGACACATCTAGATTGGATACCAAGTACTTGATGTTGTACCGCACACTGTCCGGCATTGCGCCGTCAGCAAAACCGTCACAACCAACCACTCAGCCACGGCCTCACTCTGTCCACGCCGGCATGAATCGTTCTGTCCACACCACAGTGAACAATGGAGAACACCGCACACAACTACACGACCCACACAAATCACCAGCACTGCAACAACCGTCCGACAGAGAAAATGCGCCAAGAAAAAATTGATGATGATCGGGTACCGAGAACCGGTAGATGTATTGTAGAGTCTACATAGCGGGGAGTGGTGAAAACCAGGACCCCCTGGTATAACCATTGTCATGATCTGATGATAACTCAACCCTTTCAAGACTCGGAGTCGTTGCTACTAGTAGTACTCAGTACTCATGGTACTAGTAGTACTGGTATGACCTGATGACTGAAGTCTGTACATGTCTGTACCGTATCAGTGTCACGCGCGCATGCGCTTCGTCCCTTGGACAGAGTAGATCTACGTCATGGAAGACGAGACATTTACAAATGATTTAAAAAAATCATTAATTTGGTGGTGGGTCGGCATGGCAATGGTACTTGGCACAAGTACGTGCAGTTGTCAGGGAGTCGTCAAATACTTATTTGACGACTCCCTGGTAGATCTACTGTTAGTTGTGTTCGCTTTTCTCGCTTTTGCTTCAGTTTCGCCCATTTTCACCGAGCAACCGGTGAAGGAGGCTGATGCGGCCGTTGGTGGTGGCGAATTTCGGATGATCGTGGATGCAAGTACAGGTCATGACCCGACGAAGTCCGAAGTACATTGGCTGGCTGGGGGTGAGCCAAACCAAGCACCGATTGGCAACTTGGAAAACCCATTCAAACGAATCCAGACGTGTGTGGATGTTCAACATCAACTCCGAGGCTTTCTGCTATGGCCGCCTTGGTCAACTGGAGGTAGGTTTGCAATTGGCTGACCTACCGATGATGATGGCACCGGTGATGGCGGACATGGATGGCAGACTGATGGCTGGCAACAAAGTCATCACATCTGTGCCGTGCGCACTGGAACATACCGGGATAGTGTGAGTGCGACTCTGTGAGTGACTGGCCAGAACAGTGTTCGTTACGAGTAGAGGCTTACAACAATGAACTGGTAACGACGGTGTTAGTGAAGGGAACGGCCGATATCTCCAACCTAACCCGGCAGCCGTACAAAGACAGCATCATCATGGCCAGCTTGCCTGACGAGTTCATCATCGCTCCGTATCCTGAATCGTTCCAGCTATGAGTGATGATAATGATGATGGAAGCACGGACAGGTGGCCAATGCCAAGCTAGAAGACATGATTGTTTTCACCACTGAACGGCCTGGTCCAGAACGGAGAAGGGGCAGCGTGTACGGTTGATTCATGCAGTGAGTGGTGTGACTGTCTAAATAAGCACGGAACTTTTACATCTACACATCTACATGTAGTTAAGTCAGGTTATCTTCACAAACACGGAAGGAGAATGTGGGAAAGGGTTGAATTTCCGGAAAAGTTTGGAGGGTGGCCGTGGAATGTGACTGATGCAGTGATGGTGATTGTGGACTACAAAATGGCCTGTGTTGGTTGCAAAATCCGTTTCGTGCCTAACAGTCCACGCATAATGTCCGCTACATTGTGAGAAAAATGCTATCCCTGCAAGAATTTGGTGGGGGTTGCATTTCACATTCGAATTTTTCAGTATTTCGGGGTTGCCGCTCACGGAAATAAAATCTGAAGTAGGAAAGCCGCTCTCTCTCTCTCTCTCTCTCTCTCTCTATCACACACACACACACACACACACATTCTCACCCTCTCTCCCTCTATCTCTCTCTCTCTCTCTCTCTCTCTCTCTCTCTCTCCCTTTTTGCTTTGCGTTTGTCTAGGGCACTTCACATTCCCTTGTGGTATAAACACAACCACAAGTTTCACCATGAGTGGACCGCGCCGATCAGCATCTCTAGTCTGTACTGTCACCCGGTCGAGCATTTCCTCTCCAACATATTGCCGGTATTGGCTGGTCCCGTCCTGCTCGGCTCTCACTGTATGCTGCTGCTCTTGTGGGCCTGCATATCGCTGGCCTCCGTGTACGTCGAACACTGTGGCTTCCACCTGCCGTTCATGCCGTCCAACGAGTACCACGACTACCATCATGCAAAGTTAGTAGTGTAGTGTGTGCATTCTGCATTGATTGGTAGCTGTACTAATACCTTGCACATACATGGGAGGCGGTGAACGCAATAATCTGACTTGAGCTGTACTGTGCATGGGCAGCATGCACTGCCACTGCTACCAGTAGCTGTACTGTGCATGGGTAGCATGCACTGCCACTGCTACCGGTAGCTGTACTGTGCATGGGTAGCATGCACTGCCACTGCTACCGGTAGCTGTACTGTGCATGGGCAGCATACACTGCCACTGCTACCAGTAGCTGTACTGTGCATGGGTAGCATGCACTGCCACTGCTACCGGTAGCTGTACTGTGCATGGGTAGCATGCACTGCCACTGCTACCAGTAGCTGTACTGTGCATGGGTAGCATACACTGCCACTGCTACCGGTAGCTGTACTGTGCATGGGTAGCATGCACTGCCATTGCTACGGTAGCTGTACTCTGCATGGGCAGCATGCACTGCCACTGCTACCAGTAGCTGTACTGTGCCAGGCCTGCTCGTCGAGGATTCGATAGTTTTAGGCGGCGTTCGAATTGTCTCCATCAACTGTTCGAACACATTTTTTAAAGAGATTAGTTGAGTGTCCCATTACGGCATTAGAACGGTTTCTATCATTTTAGAGTTTTTCAGTGGAATGGTCATGGCGATGATGACGTCCGATCAGATCGACCATCTCCACGTCCTACGTGACGTAGCTATTCCAAACTCTTCGGAACCAATCCACCTCTCCCATCGGATGAGGTTGTGGAGTTTCGATGAGCTTCGTTTTTCTGAAGAGGCCAAGAAGGCCACCTCTTCAGAAAAACGAAACTCCTCGAAAAGTCCAAGAGTGACAATTCGAACGCGCCCTTAAAATGCTCCGTTCGCCTCTGTTGTGTGTGTGACTGATTGTACACGATTGTATGTCCCACCCACTCCGACATCTCCCTTGGAGTTAGTTAGTTGTGGAGCTGAAAGGCCATCATTGGTCTCTTGCACAACTTTGACGGCTTGCAGGTTTCGTTCGGGGACAGCGTTGAGCCGATGAGGTTACACTTACAACCATGAAAGCAATCATTCTAAAAGCCTGAGGCTGAGGCCTGAGGGGCCGAGGATGAACAACACTTTAAAAAAAGTCCTTCTTTCGGTATGGAGTCGGTCCGATGTCTACTAGTCTCTAGTACTCGTACACTCGAAAATCTCATTTCCGCTCAGCAGGTGTGCACGTGTGTGAACGGACAGGCCGACACGTAGATCTACGTCCGGCATAGTCGGCGACGCGACATGCTGACAAACTAAAAAAAACTCCTTTCCTCTGTTGCAATGCATCGTCGACGGTCTGACAGAAATTCACGATCGGACTGGCTGCAAAGTAGCACACTCGAAGTAGAAACAGCGGCTGGGTTTTTAGGCAGCGAGACCGCTTTGGAGCGTCGAGATTTTGATTGCTGTCTCTGTGGTACATGGTTGGCTTTCCGCAATCATTGGGCTTTGGCCGTTTCGGCTTCTTGCTCGGTATGTCGGTGGGAGAGTGACTTGGAGAACAGCGCGGCATGAGCATCAGTTCGGTTAAGGAGATCATGTCAGTCTTGACAGCGACACGGTGGTCGTCTTCGGGACCTCCAGTCTCCTTATCACTGGGCTGCCATTCAGAATTCTCTGCATCGGTAAGCACCTGTTGCTAGCTGAGTTAGTCCGTAATGATCAGGTACCGGTATTCTGGGTTTTTTTTTAAAATTATTTCAACTCATTTCTCTCCCGCATAATAATGCTATGGGCGAGCGTCATCTTCAAGTTTTGGTGATGGCGATAGTGGGGCTAGCCTAGTTTTGGTGGTCTGTGTCGTGATAGCACTCATTTCCCGTGTCGCGTCGATATGTCGTGAGAGAAAAGTAGAATCTACCGCTACTAATCGTTCACGGTAGAAAAGAACCGGCATGATCTACTGACTTGAAAGGTGTCTACCGCCACGTACTTGGAGATGGAAAACGAGCGCCCCTTACTTTTGGGGGAGGGGGTGCAGCGTGACTGCACCCTAGGTCCTTATACCAGCAGACTGCTCAGGAGACGCTCAGGGATCTGACACCTAGCTCTAACACGTTCTCTCCAATGCGATAATAGATGACTTGCACAAAGATCCGAGCCGGGAGTGAGACGGGGCAAGTGCACCCCAGCCCTGTGCACCCAGGCTACACTGCGGGCACCCTACACCGTCTGTTGTGTACTTTGTTTGTCAGCATGAATGAACGGTGCACGGCATGTACATGATGTACATGTACATGATCAGTACCGTCACTGTCTTCAGCAGCTCATGAGTCATGTGCACTTGTAGGGTTAGTGGAAGTACATGACTGTATATTATGTGAAGAGAAGCCAGGCGTTCAAACCAACCCAAAATACTCTTGCCATATTCTTCGGTGAAATAGTTATAAAAAAAATTGTCTTGCTAAACAACAGTGAGCATAGAAGCAACCTCGATGCACCCAATAATATGGCATCCAGAAACAGCAGGTGTTGCACGAGGATCCCAAGAACACGTCAAGTTCCATGCTACCCGCCGCCATCAAAAGAACGAAGGATAACTGTGCTAGCCTAGTTCATATTCAATGTAACGCTATCGGTACGGGATATAGGAGCCTGTTGGGAAGGCATGGGTGAGCTGTTAAAATCTTGTACGGTTCGCACAGCACAACATACATGCAGCAGTTATTGCGACGGTTAACGTCGATGGACGAGAGTCATAAAGCACAGTCCATGGGGGTTGACGCTTCTGGGCTTCCTTTCCGAAAGGAAATTTTTTATTTCTTCTCTAATAAAGCCGAATCATGCTGATTATACCAGTCTGTTATGAAGACAAGAAAGCAGCCATGGACATTGTGCCACACTAAAGGAACGACAGGTAAAAGATAAAGCACTTCATCTGAAAACTCAAGGACTATCCATAAATACAGCAAATGATAATCCTAGCCTGGTAATGTCCAACTCCGTCATGTGAGCCATTCGGTGGGAAGCATAATGTTCGAAATGCTGAAATTTGAACAGTTGCAGTTGTGTTCGTCGCCACACAATGCCATCGCCAGTTCACATTCGAAATGTAGCCATTTTTACGCTTGTGTCCTTGTACACGGCATGGAAGGCTGAACAGATTCAACTCTTCCATCGCTTCCTGATCTGTACAGTAGTGCGGTTACGTTCCCGTTCCTGACACTCACATCCGTCTCCGCTAACCAGCATCATGAGCACTCCAATGGTTCCCGCCGCTCCTTCCGTATCGTCCCAGCGCGCCCCGTCAAGATGTGAATTACTGTAGGCAACGGAGCCAGTGTATGATGAAGGCGAATGCACTGTTTGATGATGCTCCGACAAATCCTTTCACCGTTGTGCGGAATTTGTAAGAAGAGTAGTGGCTCAACTGTAGGTCCAACACAGAAGGTACCTCACAGCGCAGTTATGTAACGTCCACAATAATGAACATACTCAGCAGACTGTGATGTGTATCAGACACACTCTGGCATTATTTGTTCCACATTCTCCCAGGAGGAGATGAAATGTAGTTCCCATGTCTTTAGTACATGGGGTACCGTTGCCTCGTTGCAAATAAACAGGTATGCAAGTTACTTTCCCATGAGACCCAGCCGGAGCCGCATCGTCGTCATTACCAGCTAATCATGAAGAGGTATAATGTGACTTTCCATCACTCCCTGATTCAATCATAGTTTGCGAGCCTGCGCCAAACTGCTTTCTCACTAGAGCCAGGTATCGGATACATATGGCTTCAGTAAGGTTTACAATGCTATGTCTCTGGCCTAGATCCAAGTCTAGATACAGCTGCTCAGAGAAAGGGCTGATGAAATGTTATCGGAACAAGTGAGACTTCAACAGTAGCTAGTACACATCAGGCCTGAGGACTTCGCAGCGTTTCTCCAGCACACTTGTTCTCTCCTTCAACTCAGATACTACTTGAAGTACTACTAAAGGCCATCTTGCTCTCATACTGCGTCCTTTCACCCTTCATTTTCATGGTTTAGGCTTCCACTCGTCACTCGGCAGGTTCCTGGCCTCTCCGCAGTCTGTCCTCAGGAGAGGGTCTCTCTGGAGCTAGTGCAGCCGATTGAAAGGGAATCGAGTTCTTTCTCAGACGTCCACAAACTTTCGTTGTGCTTGACTTCGCTTCCACTGCGGGAAAGTAGTCACACTTCAGGACCACGACGTGCTTGTTGCAGCCTACACCAATGATACTAAAATAATATTCCCTCATTTTCCTGCCTCCCGCCCGGCCGGCTCGGAAAGGAACGTATGGAATGGGAGCCTCAGTTCCATCTCTCGTCTGCTAGTTCATTCAGGAGCGCAGCAGTGCTTCGGCATGACGATACAAGTCGAATCAAAACCTACTCTATAGCCCAAAAAACTAGCTCAGTGTTCATCAGGCAAAAAGCGAAACTTCGAAAGTCACGAACTCAAAAGGTGGGGAAGTGCAGAGTCAGAAGGTCCACTTGCCCCGTCTCGAACCCAGACAATCTTTGTGCAAGTCATCTATTAAAGGTTTGCGGTTGTAGTAGGACACAAGACGTCACGAGAAACCATCATGGTGCAAACGCCAGCTCCCGCTGGAAATCACAGGGAGGCACACAGCGATGGCAGGCGAAGCAGTGGAGGCGAGGCAGAAGCAGCTAAACCGACCAAGGGTCTCCGTATCAACATTGCTAATGCGGGTCAGGCAGAGAAGAAAACACCGGAGTCTATAGTGTTTTTATATGAAAGCAAAAAAAAGCAGGAGAACGAGCTAGTACTTTAGAAGTCTGCTTTATTAGTCTCTGTGTATGCTCCTCCTACGAACTCCTACTAGTCCTTTCTGTCTGCCTTCGTTTGTGTACCCCCCCCCCCCAGCCCCCTGTCTGTTACCCTCCACTAGTTCTGGTCTCACAGTCGAATACCGGAATCGAATCCTGATGTTTGCAGCTCACCCAGGGGCTCTGTGATCATGACACTTTGATGGAGTCCGTTGTCTTATCATGCACCGCGTACCACGTGTGTTGTGTCTGTTTTCCGCAGGCCTCTGACAGAACTCTGGGATGCATCGAGTCAGTTCTGGCAGCACAGATGGAACCAGCTCTATCACGATGTGGCAGGAGGCAACGAGTTCCTTCTATCTAGCAGTGAGTGGGTTTTAAAGAACACGACGGGCCAGGGTGCTCGCCAAAGCGACATAGCGGGGCGCTGCGCCCTCCTTCACTTTTGGACCGCCCCCTTTCAAAATGAATGCACCACCCTTCACTTCAGAGAGCGAGCGCCCCACCTTCTTATATGCATGATGAGGACACATCACATACATATATAGTCAAACCTCTTTAGGACGAACACCAAGGGACCGACGGGATTTGTTCGCAATAACGGGAGTTCTTCTTATCCATATCTTATCAGTGTCTGCTCTAGGATTGTAGGACAGCCGGGTACACGTGTAACTGGCGCAACCATTTCAACCGGGTCGGAACCGGGTACACATGCCCAATGATATAAAGGCGAATGGATAAGCCGCATTTAGAAAAGAGAGGACAGGAATTAAAAAAATTACGAAAGAAGAAGAAGTATCTGACACATACAAGCCATGTAGTCAGTCCTTTCAAAGTTCGAAAGTGTAAAGTACCAACCGGGTCACAGGTGACCCGGTACTATATTTTCAACCGGATCCAAGCGCCGCCCAACCGGGTGGATTACCCGGCTCACCCGGCGCTGGAGCAGACACTGTCTTATCCCAGTGAATACACCGTGATCTATCCAATAGAGTTACAAATACTAGTTCTTCTTTTGAAGCGAAAGTTTGTTTTATCAGTGTTCTTCTTAACGAGGTTTCACTGTACATGTTGTAACACAGGATTGTTCGAGTCATTGTATGAGTCATTGTATGAGTCATTGTATGAGTCATTGTTCGAGTCATTGTTCGAGTCATTGTATGAGTCATTGTATGAGTCATTGTATGAGTCATTGTTTGAGTCATTGTATGAGTCATTGTTCGAGTCATTGTATGAGTCATTGTATGAGTCATTGTTCGAGTCATTGTATGAGTCATTGTTCGAGTCATTGTATGAGTCATTAGAGAGGTTCTGCTATACGTGAAACGTAGAGAAATCACGTAGAGAACAGGTGTCTGGGTTAGAGTCTACGGCTTCGCGTGTTTTGGCTCCAGATTTCTACGCGGAGATGAGGTTCTCTACGTTGTGGCACACGCAGAGAAAATGCGTACGGATTTGCTGGGTATCGATCAACTGCATGTAGAAAACTGCCAAATATGGAAGGGGAAATTCCCAGTACACATTCCACGTGACTTCTCTAGGTGAAACGTAGAGCAGAACAGCATTTCTTTACGTTACGGGAACGCGAAGAAAGTTCGCGTGATTCTTTGCGTCGCGTTCCCAAAACGTAGAGCAGAACCTCCCTTTTGTATGAGTCATTGTATGAGTCATTGTTCGAGTCATTGTATGAGTCATTGTTCGAGTCATTGTATGAGTCATTGTTCGAGTCATTGTATGAGTCATTGTATGAGTCATTGTATGAGTCATTGTTCGAGTCATTGTATGAGTCATTGTATGAGTCATTGTATCATAGTCATCACTTACCTCTGAAAACCATAATGATTATCAATGGCGGGTTCCAGTGGCCGGTGAATAAATACATGAAATGGTCGGTTGCTTACTGGTGTTGGTGAAAGCAGCGGCCAAAATGGCGACACAAAATGGCGGTGAAATCACAAAATGTTGGGTCCTATAATGATCCCCCCCCCCCCCCCATCACTTTTGTTCTGGCTATAACGTTGCAGGCATATTCCCATTCTGACCCAATGATACATGTATCAAAAATAAATAAACGTGATAACATAATAACATTAATTTTGTCCTTCTCCTTTTTCACCATAAATTAACATGACAATGCAATAACACGCTTTTTGAAGGCCCTAAGAGAAAAATGACCTTTGGCAGGTCTGGAGTAGTGTACTTTATACTGAACTGTACTGCAGCCAGTTGCACTCTCCTAACCATGGTGTAGAGGAGGACTTTACTTTGAAATGTATTTCCCTGTATGGTGGCTAGTTTTATGACGGCGGTTCTAGTCGATTCAGCATGACAGCTTTTTCTCGGTCGTTTTTCTGACTGATGCAGCCGGTACTGAGATATCTCTTCCAGTATGGTTCAGCTGAGCTCAGTCCTACTGGCAAAAGCTGGAACAGTGTTATGACATCAAATAGTCAGTGCAGGCAAAAAAAGATATACCTGCTCAATACCTGCTCAATACCTGCTCAAGTACTTAGTAATTAGACTTGGACGTTTTCTCGTGACTATCACAAGTGTAACATCGTCACATGGTAAGGATCACGAAAACAACCAGTTATGTAGCTAGAATAATACTGATCACTAGTAGCGTGGGAATGTAGCAGCTCGCGGCTACACACAGCGTCATTTACACATGAGCAGTATGGGCTTCTGCAGTGAATGTGAAAATGGTTGTGTAACCGGTGTGGCATCTGGCATTGAATCTGTTTTAAAACCATTGTACAAGTAATGGTGACTGTGTTTGGTGCTATCGGGTGTGTGTTGCAGTTCTATGGAGTTCCATGGTCACCTTCTACTGGTTGTTCAATGCATTCTTCATCTTCGTGGAGCTGACTGGAACCCCTTCGAGCATCTTGCAATATCGTATCCAGCCTAAAAAGAAGCCAGCTGTGGTCAGTTATGCTATTCTATGCGCCAGACGTTCTTTTCGGTGTGCCGCTCGGTAGTGACAGTGTGTGTGTGTGTGTGTGTGTGTGTGTGTGTGTGTGTGTGTGTGTGTGTGTGCGTGTGCGTGTGCGTGTGTGTATGAGCGCGCGCATGTGCGTACGTGTGTGCGTGTGTGTGTGTGCGTGTGTGCGTGTGTGTATGAGCGCGCACATGTGTGTATGTGCATGTGTGTATGAGCACGCACATGTGTGTATGTGCATGTGTGTGTGTGTGTGTGTGTGTGTGTGTATGTGTGTGTGTGTGTGTGTGTGTGTGCATGTGTGTGCGTGTGCATGTGCGTGTGTGCATGTGCGTGTGTGCATGTGCGTGTGTGCATGTGTGTGTGTGCATGTGCATGCGTGCATGTTGGTACTGTAGGACATTCTTACGCGTATGTCACGGGTACTTTCTGTTGGTGTTTGCGCATGCTGCTTTTGCGTGGAAAGCCCGCCTTCGCCGCTTGATTTCGTAATGTGTAACACCAAGAGTACAATATAACCCCCAAGAGTGTGCAACTTAACTGCCTGCACAACCTCTATGCAGTGCTGCGACGGCAGAACTTCACATCACGTGACATGGTTCAAAAAGGTTACACCGGAAAACAGTGCAAAGTGACCACAAGAGAGTTGCACCCAAAGCTGGGTTGCGTACAACCCTGTATCAATCATGCACAGAGTGCACATAATGTGACGGGTTCATCACATTATGTGAAGTTCTGCCCTCGCAGACCCCATAGCTGGAGTTGCACACTCTTGGGGGTTATGTACTCTTGGTAATACATGTAATGGCAAATATATAGCTATGAATAGGATGAAGGCCGCAGACATCACGCAACTACGTGACTTGTTTGACATGTATTGCTGTGTATTTTATAACAAAAATATTATTGAAAACCCAGAATCGATTTTCTTGTTCCTAGCATCAGTGGGAAAAAAATACGGAACTAAGGGTACAACCAAAGAAACTGAAGTTAAGTACTGTAAATAGAAAGGTGTTAGAAATAACAATAAGATACAAGTGCAATAACACCACTAGAGGAAACGAAAAAAAGGTAACAAGATTACGTAACCAAAGGTGAGAAGGCACTGAACGAAGTGTCAACCTACGAATACAACTTCAGTGCAACAACGTGCTCTTTCTGCTTACACAAAAACAGGCTTATGAATACGTATACAAACTGCCTCAAGGACTTTCAACTGTTGGACATAACGCGCACATGTCAAACAAGTAACGTAGTTGCGTGATGTCTGCGGCCTTCATCCTATTGTTGAATACGAAAAAGGACAACTGACAACGGGAACAGGTAGGTTGGTGGAACGACATTTATTAGAGACGGGATGACTAAGACCAGGACGAACGAAACGACTACATGGTGATAATTGAAGAGAGCTTATTGAAGAGAGAAAGAGATCAAGTCTGAACGGCAAGATAAAGGGCCTGGGTAGCTATGGCAATTATGGGCGCGCAAGTGGATACCCAGGCCAACGGAACCAAAGGGTACAAAAGGTGAGTAAAGGTACGGGAGGAGGTACCTAACACTATTCATAGCTACTTGGTCCGCGTCAGCGATATTGTCGCTTATCTTTCAGCTTTGTTTATATGTCACCAATGCTCACTTGGCAGCCCATTTCATGTCAATTTTTGTTAGTAAGTTAGTTTACTAGTACCTGAAAGGTCTAGCTAGAGTTCGAGTCGATTTCGTGAGCGACGGGTGGGTGATTCTGATTGATACAGCGCCGCATCAAAATAGATTATCTTGTTACGCTGTGCAGGCAAGAGCAGCGCAAGCCACAAGAAAGTAATCGGCTACTCGGAATCAGCTCCATTTTTGCTGAACGACCGAGATCGCTCACCTCGCTCGTCAAGCTGAGAATCACTGAGATCGCAGCTCCCGTACCTCCAGCTCAACGCTCGGAGTATCCAGTGCGTCGTGGAGATTTGCAAGTACTGTACGCGTCGTCGTCGTCGTTCAAAATAAAATCTTGCAAAGAACGGCGTCTGATTTGAACCACACAGGCTGTCGTGCTGCCTACGCGAAGTCCTATAGAGAAGGCGACCGTCACGATCGACTTCTCTTTAGAAAATAGCCAGGCAGCGAAGAGGAAGAGAGATGAGCTTGCAAAAGCAGGAGAGTCGATCCCGAGCAAAAATATTTGTCACCAGCGCCGAGAGCAGCGACGACGAGGACCAAAAAAAGTATGAACCCTTCCTTGGACAGTAAATTCCTCCTTGCTAGTTGTCATGCTATACCGTACCGTCCATCGTACCAAATTTTATCACTTCAAGTGCTAGCGTTGATGTCCAAAGTCGAAGTTAAAATTGTCGAAAGATAAGCGACAATATTGCTGACGCGGACCAAGTATATTAAAATTATTATCTCCACGTAGATTATTTAATGGCAAATATGTTAGTTATTTTTGGATTCATGTACAGTGCTAGTGCTGACCAGGGACATTTGATCACTTGCTAACGAACTGAGCAGCAGCGAAGGCGCAACGAACGGCTGAGAAGCGAGGGTGCTACGAACGGCTGTTAAGGCCCGCTTGAGCCTGGCAGAGAAAGAGCGCCGGCAGTGGTCGCACTTTGCTGGCCTGAACTGTACGTGGCATTTGGAACCAGTAGTCCAAGGTCGGACCCTGTTAGCTCAACTTCTATCAATCCTCGGTCTTTGTGTGTGTGATTCCATACAGGTGGAATGGCAGACGTTCAAGAAGTGTTTGAAGGTTGTCCTCTTAAACCAGTTGGCTGTGGGTTATAGCAGCCAACTTGCACTCTACTGGATCTTCCAAAAGCGCGGCGGATTATTTGCCGAGACCCTGCCGTCCTTCCAGTGGTGCTTGGTGGACCTGGCAATCTCTATGTTTATCTTTGAGGTGATTTTCTTCTATTCGCACCGGTAAGGAATGATCAGCAGTGAGGTGAAGTTGCCTTGCGTGTTCACAGGAAAATAAGGTGGGGTTCATGTCATGACTTTGTCGAGCCCGCATGATCGAACAATGCTTGCACCGGTGATATATCATGTCTGTTTACGTGTGTATTTTAGTCTTGACCGTCTTCTATATCTCAGCGGTGTGCCATTACTGTGGGCATGAGTAGTCCTAACACCGGCCGGGATGGCAACACTGCTACGGGGTGGCTGGTCAGGCCATGCCCGGACTAACTGCTTGGCCACCAGTGCATGTTCACATGTACTGCCGAGGAGCCGTTATGTGCCCCTGCCATGTCATACACAGACTGTATGAAAGACTAGGGGCATGATCGATTGGGCGAATCCCGAGCAAGTGTGCTCCGAGTGAGCGTGATCGTTTGGTCGAATCCGATCGAATCCGGAGTAGGTGTACTTGGAGTGGAATCTGACCACACCGGCCCCCACACCGGGAGTGGCCGGAGTGGAAATGGACTTTGCCGTTTTGGATAGCTTTCACAGAATCTTTGTACGATATGCGTACATTTTGCGTACTACACCCTTGTTTTGTTCGACTGGGCCAGCGTTGCTCGGACCACACCGCCTGCTCGCACTCAATCCAGATTCGCCAAACGATGACACCCCAAGGTATGGCCGGACCAATCACACCGTGACTGTTTCCGCCTGTCCTGTATTGTGGAATTGCGTATTGAACGCCATTTGTTGAGGTGTTGACAGTCTGTAGTTCCCGTATTGCTGTGAGTACATGGGCTTCAGTTCAGCCAGCATACAACTACTCGGATATTTATTTATTTAAATTTATCGTCTCCGCTTCATGGCACATAATAATACATAGCCAATACAAGAGAGGGAGGGTGAATCCAACCACGGAAAATAGCATTAAAAAAGAAGAAAAGGAAGGGAGGTGACACCATGTGTCAACAGCAGGTAGCACAATACAGTGCTATTTTAGCTGAAATGCATCCTTGAAAGCTGAGAGAGACTGTGAACAGTGAATATTATAAAAGAGTTTGAGCCAAAATGTGCAAGCCATAGAGACAGGTGATTTGATCATTAGGGACAATTAAGGGGAAGGTAATGATACCTGGTGTCTTGTATTTCTCTCTCGCTGGAACCAATCATATTTCTTGAAGTGCCTGGGGATTTGCTTAAGATAAATAATTTTCTGAACGAGTGCACACAGGTGTGCTTGGCGTCTATCAGCAAGTGGAGAGGAGGCTACGAGACAGTATAATATGCTTACTGTTATGCACGAGGGATTTTCCAAACAGCCGATTAATTATTTTTCTATGGTGAATTTCAAGCTTGGAAACAGCACGCGGCTGCACTAAGACCACACCATGCTATGTCAGCGTAATCAAACAAGAGAGCTTGGAAGCTCCGGGCCCTACGCCGCTATGCGTTTTGCCTTGATGACCTAGGCAAAAAAAGCATAAAATAATATGAAATTTTTCATTTCTCCTATTTTTTAAGACATAACCTGGGATTCGAACCCGCACTATCGCCCTGCATGCATCACCCGATACACTTCGCATACATACTAATTCTTCCAAGTTGCTTCACGTTATGATCTTGCATTTGAAAGCCCTATTTGAATATCGTGGCCAGCTGTTTCTAGCCAGCCGTCTTTGATGGTACGGTACGGGACAGATACGGTCGAGGGTAATACGACACCGTCTACCACCTTGATGACCTAGGCAAAAAAAGCATAGGGATGTTTTCAATTCTCCAATTTTTTAGGCATAACCTGGGATTCGAACCCGCGCTATCGCCCTACATGCATTCCCCAATAAACTTCGCTTTCATATTCATTCTTCCAAGTTGCTTCACGTTATGATCTTGCATTTGAAAGCCCTATTTGAATATTGTGGCCAGCTGTTTGTGGCCAGCTGTGTTCGATGGTACGGTACGGTACGGGACAGATACGGGATAGCGCCAGGCGTGACACAAACAAACAAACAAACAAATACCAAACGAGAGAGCTTGGAAGCTCAGGGCCCTACGCTATGCTTTTTTGCCTTGATGACCTAGACAAAAAAAAAGCATAGGGATGTTATAAATTCTTTAAACAAATCCTTTTTTTAAACCTGGGATTCGAACCCGCACTATCGCGCGCCCTGCATGCATCCCCCGATACACTTCGCATACATACTAATTCTTCCAAGTTGTTTCACATTGTGATCTTGCATTTGAAAGCCCTATTTGAATATGCATTGTGGCCAGTCGTCTTTGATGGTACGGTACGGTAGGGGATAGGTACGGGACAGGTACGATCGAGGGTAATACGACACCGTCTCCCGTACCGTACCGTACCATCAAACACAGCTGGCAACATACAGCTGCCCGCAATATTCAAATAGGGCTTTCAAACGCAAGATCATAACGTGAAGCAACTTGGAAGAATGGGTATGAATGCGAAGTGTATGGGGGGATGCATGTAGGGCGATAGTGTGGGTTCGAATCCCAGGATATGCCTGAAAAAACAGGAGTATTGAAAAATTTATAACATCCCTATGCTTTTATTGCCGTCAGATACGGGATAGCGCCAGGCGTGACACAAACAAACAAACAAACAAACACACAAATACCAAATTAAAGCTGTGTGGACCCTGGCTAGCGCCAGACGTTACTGAAGTAACGTCTTCTGCATAGCTACGGGAATTAAAGCTGTGTGGACCCTGGCTAGCGCCAGACGTTACTGAAGTAACGTCTTCTGCATAGCTACGGGAATAAAGGCAGAATAATAGCATCGGTAGAATAGAATCTTGCAACTGTTTGGGAGATGGGTAAAATGAGAGAGCAAAGCTCCAAGAGCAGAGCTGGTACAACAACGCACAGAAATCATATGTTGCGAAATTGTGGCGGGGAGCGGGGGAAAATTCCACAACAATATGTTCCGACCACGAAAGAGCAGAATCAATCACTACCCCTAGGTGTATGTGACCACTCACCATCTCAATAGGCTGGGGAGATCCTGGGAAATACAATGCAATGTTATCTGCCGACGCACAGCCGATGATAAGGGCCTTGGTTTTGTTGAGATTGGGGGGATAGGTGCAAGCGATGCATCCAGGACACGACCTTTTCTATGTCCAGCTGTAGAGATAGGTGAAGTTGCTGAAGTGAGGCTTCGAATTTCATGAGTGCAGTGTCATCAGCATACAAAGAAGTATCAGGTACATCACTAGGCAAATCATTGATATATAAAATGAATAACAGAGGGCCTAATATCGAGCCCGGGCACTCCCGAAAGAACAGGTCGGGGGTTGGAGAGTGTTTCTGCCGTCTTCTCTCTTTCCCACGAGCCTCCGGATACTGGAATATTATCTGCACAGTCGTTGTCGTTTTACGTTCTACGTTCTCTCTCTCTCTCTCTCCCTCTCCCTCTCCCTCTCCTTCTCCCTCTCCCTCTCCCTCTTCCTCTCCATCCTCTCTCCCTCTCCCCCCTCTCCCTTCTCTCTCTCTCTCTCTCTCTCTCTCTCTCTCTCTCTCTCTCTTCTCTCTCTCTCTCTCTTTGTTTCTCTCCCTCTTCCTCTCTCTTTTGCTTTGTGTTTCTCTAGGGCACTTCACATTCCCTTGTGGTATAAACACATCCACAAGGTCCACCACGAGTGGACCGCACCAATCAGCATCTCTGGGCTGTACTGTCACCCGGTCGAGCATGTCATCGCCAACATATTGCCGGTAATGGCTGGTCCCATCCTGCTCGGCTCTCACTGTATGCTGCTGCTGCTGTGGGCCTGTATCTCGCTGGCCTCCGTGTCCGTCGCACACTGCGGCTTCCACCTGCCGTTCATGCCGTCCAACGAGTACCACGACTACCATCATGCAAAGTTAGTAGTGTAGTGTGTGCATTCTGCATTGATTGGTAGCTGTACTAATACCTTGCACATACATGGGAGGCGGTGAACGCAACAATCTGACTTGAGCCCCCCCCCCCCCCCCCCACTGTACCCCTAAAAGGAAATACTCCCCCCCCAAAAAAAACACTTCTGGCTGCTTGTATAAAAACCACGCGCACAGAGAAGAATACTACTCCCTCAGTCCCTGCCCCCCCCCCCCAACAACAGAAAAGAAATACTCCCTGTTTCCAGCAGTCCACTTGCATACCAGTGTCATGGTTGTTGTCTCTTCTGACCATGAATGTTCCTATAGGTATTGTCTGATTCTGATCCAATGCACTACAATGCCCTCAGTTTGGTGAGTCTGCCATTCGATGATTCCGAGACCTCTGGTCAGTTGAGCCTGGCAGGCCCGGCCTACCAGCACCGTCTCACTGGTGACTCCATGCTAGCCTCATGTGCCTGGCGGTGAGTTTGTGTACCTCGTAAAAAAACTGATATTATTTTTTTTTAATGTTGGCTGCTGCTACGCAGGTTCAACCAGAACTTTGGCATGCTGGGGATCTTTGATTTTCTGTATGGCACGGACAGTCGCTTCCGTAAATCAAAGTCGTACGAGCGCCATTCCATGCTACTTGGCACCACCCCAGCCAACGTTCTGATTCCGGACGAACCGAAGAAATGCCAGTAAAAAGGTCAAGTCGGCAGTGCATGTGCGTGTGTGCACCCTCACTGCTGTTGCTAGTCTCCTCACAGTCCACCCTTGACCGTCCCATCCTCCAGTTTCAATGCTAGTATTGTCACTACTCTACATGTACGTGTATTGTAGCATACCCACCATCAATGCTAGTCACATGGCAAATTCCACTTAGCTACCGTGACTACTTCAGGCATGCCTTTGATATTATTATTTTTATTCACATAGCTATGGGTTTTTTTTGTGGCAAATTCACTAGTGCTCTAGCTCGGCCCAATCTGTGTTCTATCATGGGTGGTTAAATAACGACATCGCATTGTTCAATCTTCCAGTCCTATCAGTGACAACTCTCATAGCCAATGTGCATTGTTTCCGACGGCGATCACCAAGAAGTTATGTTCTCTTTCTCACCTAGGGCCGTTCACAATTTGTTTTCCATTTCAATTTCCGCCCTTTCCACCATCCTGGAAGCATGGAGAGGGACAGTACTGGTATTATAATTTTTTTTAAAGTTACAAGCGGGGCATTGGCTATGCCAGCACTCATCAGTACTACTTTCCAGCTATACTGCTATGACATCACTACTACTTTCCAGCTGTCCTGCTATGACATCAGTACTACTTGCTCCCAAGTCACTCTGTTTTCTGTACCCGACTACCGGTACTTAATTGTGTCACTATTCAAGGTACTTTATACTTGAAGTACTACGCTTACTTCATACAAAGTGTTGAAATTTGAAGCCTGAAATCACATGCAGTCTAGGCGTGCCTGTACGATACCGGCATGCTGACACTGCAACTTGTTGTTGGCATCCCCCCCCCCCCCCTTGAACACTGTGTGCCACTGCGCTCGTGGCAAATCCAAACTACACTAGTATCTGCTCATCCAAATCCAGAGGGCTCAGAGGGCTCTGATACCCCCCGCCCCCCCCCCAAACGCACGTTACCATACTCTTGTGACTGTCAATGAGCACGGCCAGTGATCTCTGGGGTTTTTTCCACAGGATCATGGTCCGTGACTTTTGCCACCTCCATTTATCTACACTTCAATGTACTTCTGTCGTGGACTTTGAAATTCGTTGAGAAGTTCAGCGGCCACTGGGCACTGACCTTGCAGTCGTGAGCACAGCTGGTCCATTTTTACAGTCAGTACATAAACTATAGTGTGTGTACATGCAAACAGAAGTAAGGGTGCCGGTCCCGGTCATCCCATCTGATTTCAATGTTCACGACAGTACATTGTAGATCTTCACCATGGTGAATTTGATCATTACAACACTGCTGCATATTACCAAGAGAACATAATGCAAATACTGACAGAGGTAGGATCCCGTTCATGAGCTTGTAATGAATCTGTCCCTTTGGAAAAACGCGGCCAATAATTCAATATTCCGCGGCAAATTCCGCGGGGGAAAGGGGGGTTTTCTGCGGCATTTTCTGTGGTAAAATCAAAAATCTGCGGCACTTTCTGCAAGTTTTTCACCCCCCTTGCATGAAAGAGTACTTTTCACACTATCATTTAATATTTGCAGTCACAAACTGAATGAGAGTGAAAAATCTTCGAGATTCTGCACTCACTTACACTCGCAAGAGCATAATGTGCTCAAACAGATCGCAAAGTAGCTTTTCTGCTGCTTACTGAGTAGTAATTTTACTAATTTATCCGAAAAAATTCAAATTCCGCGGGCAATAGTGTGGATTCCGTGATTTCCGCGGATGATGACAATTTCTGCGAAATTTGCCGCGGCCGCGGAATCGCGTTTTTCCAAGGGGACAGATGAATGGACACACTCTAGTTTGGCATGGTGTCTCCTTGTGTATGCACATTCACACATAACAAATACACGCACACGTGCATCCACATCCATGCGCATCCCCTCCCTCCCCCCCCCCCCCCTCGCCCTCCACAAACACACACACATGTACACACACACACACACACACACACACACACACACACACACACATACACACACAAAAACGTGCGCACGCGTGCACGCATGCACACACACAAACACATTGGACCTTGGACGCATTGTCATGTTCAGACAGGATAAGTCCTGTTGTCTACTGAAAAGCCAGCCACGATTGTAAATATTGTTGAAGGAGCCGCAGTCTGTGTGTGTGCTCGGGTCGAACCATGGCTACATTTGTGACGCTTCGTGGCTTTGTGTGATAGCACACAGCGGTGTCAACGGACATTTCTTGCTTGTCACACGAATGCTAGCAGTGCTGCTAGATTTCAGTACTGGAGTAAAATATGATGTGTATCTCAAGGATAATAGCATGAACTTGTATGTACAGGGTATGGCTGACACTGCTATGGCAATATACATAGCAGTATAAACATTTGTAGAGTAGAGTTTTCCAGGTTTAACTGACATAGCGGTAACTATTCTGTACAGTGACTAGTGTAAAAACAGTAGGTGAGAGTAGACATGAACACATTCAGTAAAACTGATACCACAGTAGACTGGACTAGACAGTACATGTAGTTCAGTTGATCATTATATCTACATACTAACACAACACTGTGTGTGTCATAGACAATCTGTATACATCATGTCTATACAAGTGATGTCACAGTGTTGTGATCAATGACAGGTAGTGTGCTGTTGGAGTATCTCTTACTGCAGTAGCTGCTTGAAATGATCCCTGTCCAGTGCTGGTCACTTTCACCAATCTCAACTGCTAAACACTATCCAGTAGAAATCTTCAGAAGCTCAGCTAGCCCTGGAGAGTGTACAACAGAGAGGGTGCACATACACCACCACACACACGCACCCAAACACAAGCCACCACACCAGCACACATACCAAACAACACACACACAGGCAGAATCACACATTTACTTGAAGCTCTGGACATACAATTCGTCTTATGGATTGCATGCGTTGATGATATAATTAAGAATGAACTAATGAAGTCATTGTTATAATAATCATGACTCATAATGACATCATGCCTGGTATCTACAGGCAGTGTTTGTACACAATCTGAATAACATCAAGCTGTCAAACAGGTGACCGTATAACAGGATACGTTGCACACATACCACAGAAGTGACATTCCCTGCTAACGAATTCTTCCTGACACATTCTGCCATTTGTTTTCCCAATGTACACCCCCCCCCCCCCACCACCACACATACACACATACCCACCCCTTGTCCACCCACACCCCTTGTCCCTCCCACACGCACACACGCCAACACACACACACACGCACACACACGGAGACTCCGGGTCGCTGATCCTGGTCTACACAATCATGCAGTTCATATGTTTCTCATTGAGCGAGACGAAGACGAGAAGATGCATGAGTGTTTGTGACGGGATAAGTGACTTTGCCTTTAGAATCAACTCTGGCAATCTCGAAACTTTTGTTGGAACTTGTCTGTGTTTACTGGTCACAGGTTGACACGGTGCAAGACAAATCTGAGTGGCAGCAGGGTATGTTGAGTGAATACGACCAGCTTACAAACTGGTCAGGGAGATAGGCAGTGAGGCGAGCAAGCGCACATTCGCTCGACAAAAAAGATATCACCAACACAAGTGCCCATACATGCACACACACAGACACACATGCACACGCACACGTGCACACACACACACATACACACACACACACACACGAACACACACACATACACAAACACACATGCACGGGTGCACATGCTCTCAAACACATACACACACTGAAAGACTCCCGCGACTCCCGCCTGTTCTATCAACCCATTGCTACAAGGTCACATTGGCCCCAGAAGGGGTCATACAGAGGGACAGTAAAAATATACTGTGTGGGATCCTACAGAAAATCAAAGGTCTTGTGCGAGTACCCCCCCCCCCCCCCTCCAACCTGTTGGTCCTGCCATGGACTCATCGGTAGTTCACTCGTATTACTGAACAACTACCATACAAGTACAGGCAGACCTCAGACCTGCCCATCGCGGAAGCGAACAGCTATGTTAGACATAGCAACTTGTGCTGGGATTACACCATTCAACAGCTTTCAAGGCTGATGAATTGACCGCCACTATTTTTAGCCTGGTATCCACCACACAGCTGATTGAAGTGACTTTTCCTGGCCAGTGAATCCCTATTATTCTTTTTCCATTTTTCCATTTTTTCTTTTTTTCTACACACACCACACCACATACTTCAGCATACAATGGCTGTTGGTAACCACCCAGGAGAATGAAAGAAGAGTCAGGAAGAGTCCGAGAAAGAGAAGAAAGACATGTGCGACCATAATCATCGGGAATTGAACCCGCAACCTCTCGATTGGAAATCGACTGCACATACCACTGCACCATATGGGACACACACACACACACACATACAACCACCACATCGCCCCCCCCCCCCCCACACACACACACATCCGCACCCATCCCCCCCCCCCCACACACACACACACATACACATCCGCATCCCCCCCCCCCCTGCTGGTCCTACGATGGACTCTCAGTAGTTCACTCGCATTACTGAAGAACTACCATACAAGTACAACCCCTCCCAGACACACGCACACACACACATACACACACACACACACACACACACACACACACACACACACACACACATACACACACACACATAAACACACATACTTAAAAGGCTGTCTTATTGACCCAATGTTACACAAGATCAAGAAAGGGAAATACAAAGAGGCAGTTCGACAATACGGCGTGATGATGTTACGAATGATCCAAAGTTTGGTTCCCACACCTCCCCTCCAACTCCCCTCCCCCCAAACCCGGGCCGCACACTCACTCCACACCCCCCCCGCTACACACACACACACACACATACATACCCGCACCCCCCCCCCCCACACACACACCTCTATCCCCTCCCCCCACACACACACACCTCTATCCCCTCCCCCCCCCCCCCACACACACACCTCTATCCCCTCCCCCCCACACACACACCGGCACACCCCCCCCCCCCCCACACACACACACCTCTATCCTCCCCCCCCCCCCCCCAGACACACACACCGGCACACCCCCCCCCCCCCCCCCACCCCACACAGAAACGTTTACACACAGACTCAGCAGTAATTTTCTCACGATACCAAGGCACTAACAAACCAGTTCATCACACAGCAATCACAATCTGTCATGTGACTGGATGCTAACACTCGAACTTACTGGAGTATGCGATGTCTGAGTGCTGCCAGCATAGCACAGTGTTGGTTGTGTTCACTTAGGTGCTCATCAGTTTGACGATGTTTGCCACACAGGTAAGCCATGCCACAACGAGGACATGCTGTGATGTTGTCCAGGTCATAGCAGACAAAACATGCCGCTACACGTGGACACCATTCCTGCAGTGCAATGTGGTGATCAATGGTCACTTGGCCTCTCTTGGATTGACGATGCAGGGCAGCAATGAGAGAGTAGTATAATAGTAGAGAATGATCTCCAGCTTGTGGTGGTAAGTACACAATTCCAGACACTGAGAGACCAGTTGCACAATTGCTTGGCAGGTAAGCACTGAGATCATTAACCAATGACTTCAACGCTGGGAAGAGTTTGGATATTTCTCCAACTGCAAAGATCGTATTCTAGAGCAAAGCACGCAACAAAGAACAGTGTAGAAAAGAAAGTAACTGAGGCCAGTACACACAAAACAGAGAACGTCATGCACAATAATAACAAATCAGACTGATATAGCGGAAAGCAACACATTCCATTTCACTAGTTGACAATGTTCAAAATTATCACATTCCCCTCTGTGTTCTTCAAGAAATCAACCTTAGAGAGACAGACACTATACAGTAGATAATATACTGAGTACACTGGTTTGCAATACAATGTTCCATTCAGAGTGGAGTGTGGATGAAAAACAGTTATGGTAACCTGAACCGTGTGTAAACTGCACTACCAGCTTACCTCAATCCCGAGCAGTGCTCTACCCGTCAGAATACAAGACTGCATCACTTCCACATCAGGTACCTTGTTCTGGCTACAGTTGTTAATCAGTGCTGTTGTGTGATCTGCTGGATTTGAGCCATGACACCATCTCCTGACATAGTCCATCACAATGTTGTAGGGATGCTGTGCTGGTAGAGTGAGACCCGTTGGAGTTGTATGTGCCCTTCCATTAGCTACTAAGGAGCTGTATTGGGAGCTGTACACTTCACTCCACTGCAAGTCCAGTAGTGTGGCTACTGTGTCATCATCCATTGAGTGCAGGTACCGTTGTAACCGAAAAGTATGCACAGTGGTAAAGTCGTCATGGGTACTGACCGTGCGCCTGATAGCAGTTGGTACATGTTTCCACTTGCACAGTTGTATACCCAGTGTTGTAATCAATGATGGTGAAACAATCCACTCACTGCTACAGGAACCTGACATGACCTTGCCCAGGATCACAACAATGCATTGTAGCAGAACGTAGTACATTGTAGCACATGAAGGGACTGAAGCATCTTGTGATAGGAAGCATGATGACATCACTCTCTCTGCAAGGTCTTCTACCACCTGTACATTGGGCATATCCTTGTTTAGCAGAGTGGAACAATACCGTTGAATGAGTTTCAGGGCACATTCAGTGACACCTGTTGCAAGACCAATTCCCAGTGTTGTTGTAACACGCTGGTACACCACCTGCAGACGGGATAGTGTTTCCTGGCTGGGCTCAACCTGTCCTTCCCTGAAGTCGATGTCCAGAGACATGGATAGCCTGCATGACTCCAGAGAAAGTTGCATCAAAGGTAGATGCAGCGGTGACCCCACTCCTGTCGATTCTTGTTCAGATTTCTCCAGGAGCATTTGGGTTCTGGAATCCAAACTCTCAAAAGTGACATCGGAATCTGCAATGCTTTGACGGCAAATACAACACAGGACCGAGGTGCAAATGCTGTCAGCTTGTACAGATAGCGGTGCTTTGTCCAATCTTTGTATCCTGTCCATAAACTCTCCAACAAACATTGCTCTCCAAAACAAGGCAAGTAGGATACTCGATGACTTTGTTAATCCAGAGAAAGGAAGCAAGTCATCGCCAGACAAAACATCAACAACAGACAACGCCACCTGTATATTCACCTGTTCCTGAAGCAATTGGTAACTCCAATACACTGCTTTGTCTGCACCACAACCTCTACAGTCATCAACTTCCTTCACAAAGCTAAGGAAATGCTTGCACATTCGCCGTTGATACATACATTGCTTGTCTTCAGGGCATTGGTAACGACCAAACTCGGCGATGAGTGGTTGCAACGAGTAGCGATCCGAATGCGAATTGTAATCCAGGAAACAAATCTTGATCAATGGATCAAAACTTTCAAGATGAACCACATCAACATCATCACCTACACAATCCACCATCACACAAGCGCACTTAGATGAGAACGAGGAGCGCAGTTGAGAGAGAGCATGGAATGATGCCTTGTCATCCTGACGTAATGTGTTGTATGCTATTTTCAACAGCTGCAGAATTCGATCATTTGGTTTCAGACCATCATCGTTGAACACATCAAGACCAACCTTCTTGAACAACGATAGCAGCCTGGTGGGAGTTAATCGACCCCCTTGTAGAAGACCAGCTGTAATGCGTACAGCAAGTGGAACATTTCCACAATGAACCACTAATCTCTGTGCATCTTCAATGCTCACACTACCTTCAACACATAGACCATGGAGAAGATCAACAGCACAAACCTTTGTCAGACCATCAAGACGGTGTTGTTGTAGTTTAAACTGGGCAGCGTGTAGGTCAAAGTAAACACGACTTGTCAGTAGGACATGAACGTTGTGTTGTAGTCGAAGTAGTCGTTCCACAACATCTTGTAGTTGGAAATCTTTAGCAGCACCAGCATGGATAGCATCCTCGGCATTATCCAGAATACATAGCATGCGGTGCTTGCCACCATCCTCATCCATGCCATCAGTTGTTTGTTTTGTCTTGCCAGCAGTTTCAGGTGAAGCCGGGTTTGTTTCGAGTCGGTTTTGAATCATTGCCTGGACAGCGTCAACACCAGCTACACCGCGTAAGTCAAAGAACTCCACACGACAACCAGCATTGCGACATACATGTCCCACAGCAATGGCTACAGACGTCTTACCAAAACCAGCTGGTGCCAGAAGACTCTGCACACGTGTAGATGATGATGTGGACTTTGCTGTGAGAATGTTGTCACTAATCTCTGTAACAATCTCATTCCTGCCAGTGAAGTGTCGGTCTTTGTCCGGTAGAGATGACTGGCTTGACGTTGCTGATCTTGTTGAATCCTGCGTTGTAGTCAATGCTGTGTTGGTTGTTGTACCCATACTAGTCGCATCAGTTCTAGTTACAGCTGATGTTGGTTGTTTGAAAACTGGCTCACGTCTGCTGGAGGTCCGTTGCTGATCGGCCTGGCCATCTTCCACCGGGTGCTGTGATGGCTGCGTTTTCTGTTGGCCAACTGTTGTCATGGTGGTACCTAGCAAGATACAGAAAGCAAGAGTAAAAACCTATTGTAAGTTTTGAAAATCTTTCAAAGGGGATGTATGGCCTACTTTCTCCGTTAATCTGTTAAGCAAAACTTCAATGCATTTTTATAGACCCGTCAAAACCATCTATCAGAGCAATGGATGTCATCGTGGCCAACCTATCTCAGTGGGGGGGGGGTCACCGATATGTTTGTCTAATGCGCATAGAAAGACCCTGATAAGAACAATAAAATGCAATGAAGAAGTTTTGCTTAACGGAGAAAGTCGAATCAAAATTTCACAGTACTGGACCTACTGGTAGTCTTCTGTGTGCTGATTCGAATGCTGTTGGTCCGAGGAAGCTGAGCTACTGCCGTTGGCCTATGTTCCCAGTCGAACTCATGCACTGGAAGCTGAGCCACTGCCGTTGGCCTATGTTCCCAGTCGAACTCATGCACTGGAAGCTGAGCCACTGCCGTTGGCCTATGTTCCCAGTCGAACTCATGCATTGGAAGCTGAGCCACTGCCGTTGGCCTATGTTCCCAGTCGAACTCATGCACTGGAAGCTGAGCCACTGCCGTTGGCCTATGTTCCCAGTCGAACTCATGCACTGGAAGCTGAGCCACTGCCGTTGGCCTATGTTCCCAGTCGAACTCATGCACTTTCAAATTTTTGGATGAGTGCACCCCACTACTAGAACAGTTGCGCTCGGTGAAATCCGACACAAAGTGAATATTTTGGCGCCACTGGATGAGTTGCTTTGACTGACAGCCCAACGTCTGAAGGTAAATTCCCCTGAAAGAAACATACATCCGTTATGGTGAAGGAGAGTCGATCGTAGAGCAAAAACAATTGGCAATGACAAATGGAAAAATTTTCGTTCAAAAACGCCCCGATTTCAGCTACAAGTATTACAAACAAGAATCCCGGGCTTATTTCCTACTAGTGGTTGTACTAGAACTCTGCAATTAGTAACAAAGTCATGTGATAGCGGGTTTTCCAAAGTGGTGTGTTGATGACTATCGTGGCCTGGCAAGGTCTTTTGGAGGTCATAGAATGATGGCTGGTAGCCTCGAGCTCAGTCTTCCAGGGAAATGTTCAAATTTATGACTGCCGACAAAGTACTGTATGGCACGACATTTTCGGACAAAGCCAAATTTTTTACAGAGAATTCAAAATATCGCCTAAAACACCATGAAAATTCGCTTCGTTGCCACGGTAACCCCAGAGTTGTCATGAATTTTGTAATGATGAGTGTGGTCGCACACTGACTCTGCACAGACTGTCAGTGTACATCCCATCCAGCCTGATCCAGGCATGTTACTTTGCACTTCCACAGCCAAGCGCTAGCCTTTTTTAGAACAAATGTACAGTGATTTGTGCCTTCAGTTGTGCTGAAAAGTGAAAGTACAGGACTTCTGCATAGGAAAGTAATGATCTCCGACATTTTGGCTGCTTTTCGGACGTTTCCCTTTTCGGACCGGTTTTCGGAAGAGCCTTCCAAAATCGGACAATGTCCGAAAAATCGGACGGTTTGGCAGCACTGTAAATGCACGTGTTTGCATGCGGTGCGCATGTAAAGTGTACATATGTACATAACTTAACAGGAACAAATTTTAGTACGGAATTAATTTTAGTACAAAAGAGGCCGTGTCCGAAATCGTACGAAAATAAATTCTGTCCGAAAATTTCCTGCTATACAGTACCTTGCAATCTTCGCTCTCCAACAACTACTGTGCTAAGTCTGAGTTGAGGATTTCATCTGGAAAATGGTATTCTCTGGAATGCTGCACTATATCTGCGGCATAGCAATGAGAAAAGCTGACTCCGACAAAAGCAATGTTTGCGATTTCGAAGTAATAGAATTTTGGAAAATGAAAGCCTGAGCAGTCACAGAAAGCAATTCAAGTATGGAAGGGGACGGTGTGGTTTCCGTCCAGCACTGCACTATGTGGTGCATACATGCGCGTGCGAACTGAAGTGCTTAATTGCATGAAGTGCATGACAATACAGGGTGTGCACATGCATGCCGTGTGCATGCATGTGCTGCACGGCATGCATGCCGGGCTTGCCTGCTTGCACAACTCACATGCTTTCACCGTCACAGCTTCTACAGTGTGCGCTCGATTCACTCGATTTTTACGTCCACCACCGGGAAATTGCTGTGAGCTGGCTTCTGTGATAATGTTCCTTCTACTGCGATAAAGTGCGAGGCTAAATGTTCTAGAATCCTCTTCTTTTAGACCAATTCGAGGCTGCTGAACACGAAAATTGGGTGTACCTGCCGGGGCCGTGTTTGCCTCTGGTCGAGATCAGTACTTCTCTATGCCTATGTGCAAAGCGCGGCTCCACCTTTTTTGTTCAGGCATGGCATGTATGGCATCAATGGAAAGGCAATGACCACAGCTACCTAAAACAGCATCGACAAGGGAGTACTGGCCACGGGATCAGATAGAAGCGGGGTCAAAGTCAGGCCAAAGAGATCTCACGCGGGGCCCAATTTACGGACTGTACAACTACAAACTTTTCAAAATTTCAATCGATCGGAACTCAGTCATTCCTGGGTTATTTCCAAAAACTAACATATGTACGTCGAAGAGAAAGCTCTCAGCTGTCCATTACACACCACCAAAGTTGAACACATTGCAGTAAACGTATAGCAACAACATACCTGTGTGGGACAAAATGGAGAGCATTTCCTTGCTCTTGTCCGCATAACCAAGTTCCTCAATGACAACACAGAGATCACGATAAGTCTTTAGGCCACCAGCTCTGAGCAACTGGATGAGCGCCTCATTATGATCAGATAGTCTATCCCGGGACTGAATTCTCTTTAGTCTCTCTATTGATGCGCTGTCAGTTATGAGATATTTCTTGATCACCATCTGCCGCAGTCGATCTGGGTCAACTTTGTTCAACCATGGTTGAATGTCACACACAAACCTTGTCAGGTCAAACGGATTGTCTGTTGCGAAAGCAGCAAAATACAGAAGGCACAGATGACACATGAACACACAACTACACACAACTACATGTCAAGAAACAAATAAAAATGGAATTGCACATTACCGATAATACATGGAAAGGAATTTGAGTGGACACACCCATTCCCATAGCGCTGCACATCCGAACAAGTTCCGTTATTTTACAACGTTTCGGCACTTGGCCATCGTTAGGTGATAAGAACAATGGACACACACACATACACCCCCACACACACACACATACACACACACTCACGCAGTCACGTGCGCACGCACACACACACACATGCACACACACAAACACACACACACACACATTCCCAGAACCGCACATCGGAGCGCTTCAGCGATTGTTTCAATGGACAGCTGGGAGTTTTCTCTTCGACCTACATATCTTAGTTTTTGAAAATAAAAAAAAGAAATGACTGAGTTACGATAGATTAAAATCTTGAAAAGTTTCGATCCCAGGGGATCGAAAGTTGTACAGTCCGTACACAAAGGGTTAAAATGTACACGCGAGTTGTGACTGCAGTTTTCACCTGACCCAGGCTGAAACTGAACTCCCTAGCAATAATCTAGTGACCCATGACAGTGCTTCACGCCCGTGGCACCTGCATTTCTTGTAGATCTACAGAATCATCATGTAGATCTGGTTATAATCTCAGAATTGTCCATCTAACTGAACCCACTGCATTCCCAGGGGCGTAGGAGGGGTTTTGGAAGTGGTACGACCAAAGGTCGGCGGAAATTTTTGTAAAAAAGACACAAAATCCTGCGGTCTGGGAACTTCTGGCACACTTCTGGCGCAGTGTACCTGTGCAGTCGAGTCGAGTACGTAGACTACTCAGCACGACTGCTGATGCATAACAGATCTACGAGTAGATCTACGAGTACGAGTCTAGAAAAAGGTCAAAGTCTGATGCGCATATGCATATCGATGGATCCTGATTTTTTTATTACGGTTTTGCACGTTCCGGACGGACCACACTTTTCGAAAAGTGGTACGGCCATGGTCGTACCAGTCGTAGCGGGCCCCTGATTCCCAGGGTCAGCTGTCAATACTATGGATGTGAATGCATGAACTGATTCATCTCTGTAAGCACTTCTCACTGCTAACATGGAAGTACTGGCAGTGCTGCTCAATGAAATCCAGTCGCGTCACTCAAGTTAGTTTGCACCATTTTGCAGCCCAGTGTTCGCAGGTCTAGGGCTGCGCAACGCCCAGCGTGTACTTGAGTGACGTTGTGACTGGATTTCATTGAGCAGGACTGTACAAGTCATGTAGTTACACGAATGTTCAACGAGCCCCCCCCCCCCCCCCCCAATCTTCGTATGCCATTGTAAAGTGTAATGATCAATGTGAACACTTACCGGAGGACGAGCCACGTGTTGACTCACCATCTGCCGACATTGGCTTCGAGGGACGGGCAGTTTTCCCACTGGCAGTTGCATCGCGTCGCTTCGCCATGGTACTGGCGACATGTTCAGCTACATGAGGCTGGCTGTGCTGAATGAGCCTCAGGAACGAATCCACCTGTTCCTCCGTTTTCGTTAGCATCAACCTCACCACGTACTTCGTCAGATCAGACTTCACGTTCTCCTTGCTGGAGGCAGTTTTATATTCATCAACGTCCAGCACATCATTCTCCAGCAAGAGTTCCAAGATCACGGATACATCTAGATTGGAAAGTAGGAAGGCTATGTTATAGCGCACCCTGTCTGCCATTGTTCACACTCCTGCCTGTCCGCGTGACCACAGTTCACTCGCACTGCGGACTGATCACGATCGACATCGATTTACTGCATACTGTGACTTCTAAGTTAGGATCAAGGAGTTGTGTTTTTCAAGGAATAGTACAAGCCGTTAATCAGTTGTGGCTCATTTACAGAGCGAATTTCATGAAGGCCAACAACTCTTCGAAAATCACGCTTGAAATGTTCAGCATCAGCTCGATCGCCTGGGCTCTTCGCTATCACTGTACTGTTGTATCAGTATCAGCACTAAGAGAATGGTAAAAATTAAAAATAGTCGGAAGGAGATGACTACGTCGACGCGGTCGGTGCAGCCATGTACTGGCGCCAGTAGATCTAGTACAGTCTGTATCGGCTATAGAGTGACCGGATATAAGAATATATCGGCTACAGTGATATTGGTACGAAATATCAAAAGCAAAACGTATTTTTCCAGTACAAATATCGCTATAACCAATATTATCGGATGTAATGATATATCGGATATTATGATGGCAACAAAGAATCAAAACATGCAGAACACACTATATTATTATCGTTTATAATGATAAGTTTAAAATCCATGTTGCAATAATATCAAAGGCCCTATTTCTTTACTTTCTTCACGTTGCTTATTTTGATAGTGACACATGTACATGCACACAGTAACAGAATTTCTTTATGGAAATGCGGGCACTGTCAACTATGCAGCATGCTCATTTGTCACAACGCCATGCTGGAAGTATTTCCTTGCCTTTCATGATGGAATTCATGTGTCGATCGAAAAAAATCGATCGTATCGCATATAGTGATGCATCGGTTATAGTGATAAAATCACGGAAATCAAAAGGGTACGCTATAGCCGATACAGACTGTACTGGCAAGTGGCAGTAGCCTTCGCATATGGCCGGTGTTGGGCCTGAGTGAGACTGAGAGTGAGAGTGGGCCATGGGCATGGGGTCTCCGACTCTCCGCCAGTCGACTAAAACTGTACAAGTAGTCTCCGACTCCGGTCATGGTTGCCATGGCGCATGTGTGCACGAGGAAAGCGTTGATCTCGTATACCTAGTACTAGTACTAGTACTACTAAAGTACTAGTAACTGATTGGATTTTTTTCGGTTCCTTGGTTTATTGGTATGAACCCAATATAAAATTATTGTTTTATGAATCGAGTAAACTGTTTGCCCTACAAAGTAGTATTGCAGTGATAGTGGTCAAGATTGAAGGAAGCCAGACCGAGTTGTAAGAGAACGCGTGTTGATCGCCATGAATGGCATGATTTTGATGACCGCAGACTGGAGGACTGAGCCAACTGAACTGAACTGCGTGTTGGATATTATTTGAACATCCATTCAAACGTCAAAGGGAAATGCAGTGCGTGGCTAGGTGGTCAACAGATCTAAATCGTTGCCTAACGTAACAATAGCGCGCGTGTCTGGTTGCTCTACGGTATCCGTGCAGCTCCCTTCGGCACCTGTATCGTCCAAGAGCATGTGACAGTGGACTGGAAACTTCGGACAGGGGACGAGTGACTTCTGCTAGCGAGCTCTGTGGCCAATGACGTGGCCAGGGTTGCCAGCGATTATTACAGTGAGTGAAAGCAGAAAGGATAGTCCAGGAGCAGAAGCCTCTTGAGAAGCTTGGCAGTGATGAAAAAACACGTTCACAAGGTTCACCACGAGTGGACTGCGCCGATCAGCATCTCTGGTCTGTACTGTCGCCCGGTCGAGCATTACCTCCCCAACATATTGCCCATAATGGCCGGCCCAGTGCTACTCGAATCTCATATATGCTGCTGCTGCTGCTGCTGCTGTGGGCCTGCATCTCGCTGGCCTCCGTGTCCGTCGAACACTGCGGCTTCCACCTGCCGTTCATGCCGTCCAACGAGTACCACGACTACCATCACGCAAAGTTAGTAGCGTAGTGTGTGCATTCTGCATTGATTGGTAGCTCTACTGCACATACTTGGGAGGCGGGGAACGCAAAAATCTGACTTGCCCCCCCCCCCCTCCCCCAACTGTACCCCAAAAAGGACATACTCCCTCCCCCCAAAAAGGACATACTCCCTCCCCCCAAAAGAAAGTTCTGACTGCATGTATAAAGCCATGTGCTAACTTTTCGAAATTTGCACAGAGAAGAATACAGTCATCTCCAAAAAAATTTGTCCAAATGCTATGCTAGCTACCGGTAGCTGGACGTGGCGCATGCACTGCCACCGCTAGTGCTATGCGCTAGTACAGTTGTGGCATGTGAAATCCGACACTTGCCATAGGGGACAGCGCCACAAATGGACAGCAATGATGTAATGCACTAATTTGTACTATAGAGCCGTATGCATCCCAAACTGATCGAAAGGTCACAGCGTAGATACACACAGTTCACTGAACACATAGTACCAAGAGTAGATAAACAAGAGTGTGCAACTCCCGGATCCGCGCGGATGGGTATTGGCCCACGGTGGAATTTTTTGTTGACGTCATCTTTTCGACCACCCACGCGCTGCTAGTCTTTTGGAAAGTTTTGCCTCGTGCACTTGGCCAGGCTTACATTACAATGTCGGTGCCCAGCACGTGCTCTCACACTGCTCTGCGGCAAGAAGCGCGTTTTTCTGGAAAAAGGTGACGTCAACAAAAAATTCCGCCATGAGCGGGGGGGGGGGGGGGTATCAGGAGATTGTGCAGGAGAGATCCGGAGTTGCACACTCTTGTTTATCTACTCTTGATAGTACACATAAGGAGTATTGGTATCCAATCCCCATTCATTTTTGCCAGCACCTTTCGAACCTTGACTATGATGAGTACGAGTTTTGTCATCAGACAGATAAAGTTGTATGTAACACATGTACTGTACGTATGCAGGGCTGCAGGGACTGCAGACTGCATGGTGCAGTCCCTTATGCCAAGTGTCGGATTTCACTTGCCACAATTGTAGTAGGCATGCTTGGTAAAAAATTTCATTGTTAATGAAAATGAACTACTTCTTGTGTAGGGATGTCAATTGAATAATTATCCTATCCACGATGGGAATTAACCGGTCCGTCTTGCGTGACCGATCCTTTCAATGATCTTATCTTTACATTTCCTTTTCCACCTGCACTCCTCCTTGGTAAGTTCCCTTTTCTCTCTAGCTCTTCTCTTGTACCTTCCTGCTATAATTCACTTAATGTGGCGCTTTCCATTGGCGCACTGCTACAGCTGTAGTACAGTGCAGGGGCGTAGCACTAGTAGGAATTCACTAGTAGTAGTAGACTCTCTACTAGCAGTAGTAGTACTGCCTTGTGCACGGCACATGCTCTGCTGCTGGACCTGCACTCTGCAGTGCACAGTCTGTGCTGTACTCGACTCGACTGCAGCAGGCAGAGTGCAGAGCCGCGGACTGTTTTAGTTCAGTGCTATGCTGGTAGACCCTCTAATGACTGTAAATGCATGAATGCGATTGTGACAGCCACCATGCCACTGTACATGTATCCATGGCATTGGCTGGATTTTTTGGTGACGACTGTATTACTCCCCCAGTTCCTGCCCCCAACAACAGAAAAGAAATGCTCCCTGTTTCCAGCAGTTCACTTGCATACCAGTGTCATGGTTGTTGTCTCTTCTGACCATGAATGTTCCTATAGGTATTGTCTGATTCTGATCCAATGCACTGCAATGCCCTCAGTTTGGTGAGTCTGCCATTCGATGATGCCGAGACCTCTGGTCAGTTGAGCATGCCAGACCTCACCAGCACCATCTCACTGCTGACTCCATGCTAGCCCCATGTACTGCTGACTCCATGCTAGCCCCATGTACTGCTGACTCCATGCTAGCCCCATGTACTGCTGACTCCATGCTAGCCCCATGTACTGCTGACTCCATGCTAGCCCCATGTACTGCTGACTCCATGCTAGCCCCATGTACTGCTGACTCCATGCTAGCCCCATGTACTGCTGACTCCATGCTAGCCCCATGTGCTGCTGACTCCATGCTAGTCCCATGTACTGCTGACTCCATGCTAGCCCCATGTACTGCTGACTCCATGCTAGCCCCATGTACTGCTGACTCCATGCTAGCACCGTCTCACTGCTGACTCCATGCTAGCCCCATGTACTGCTGACTCCATGCTAGCCCCATGTACTGCTGACTCCATGCTAGCCCCATGTGCTGCTGACTCCATGCTAGTCCCATGTACTGCTGACTCCATGCTAGCCCCATGTACTGCTGACTCCATGCTAGCCCCATGTACTGCTGACTCCATGCTAGCCCCATGTAATGCTGACTCCATGCTAGCCCCATGTACTGCTGACTCCATGCTAGCCCCATGTACTGCTGACTCCATGCTAGCCCCATGTACTGCTGACTCCATGCTAGCCCCATGTACTGCTGACTCCATGCTAGCACCGTCTCACTGCTGACTCCATGCTAGCCCCATGTACTGCTGACTCCATGCTAGCCCCATGTACTGCTGACTCCATGCTAGCCCCATGTACTGCTGACTCCATGCTAGCCCCATGTACTGCTGACTCCATGCTAGCCCCATGTGCTGCTGACTCCATGCTAGTCCCATGTACTGCTGACTCCATGCTAGCCCCATGTACTGCTGACTCCATGCTAGCCCCATGTACTGCTGACTCCATGCTAGCACCGTCTCACTGCTGACTCCATGCTAGCCCCATGTACTGCTGACTCCATGCTAGCCCCATGTACTGCTGACTCCATGCTAGCCCCATGTGCTGCTGACTCCATGCTAGCCCCATGTACTGCTGACTCCATGCTAGCCCCATGTACTGCTGACTCCATGCTAGCCCCATGTGCTGCTGACTCCATGCTAGCCCCGTGTACTGCTGACTCCATGCTAGCCCCATGTACTGCTGACTCCATGCTAGCCCCATGTACTGCTGACTCCATGCTAGTCCCATGTACTGCTGACTCCATGCTAGCCCCATGTACTGCTGACTCCATGCTAGCCCCATGTACTGCTGACTCCATGCTAGCCCCATGTACTGCTGACTCCATGCTAGCCCCATGTACTGCTGACTCCATGCTAGCCCCATGTGCTGCTGACTCCATGCTAGCCCCATGTACTGCTGACTCCATGCTAGCCCCATGTACTGCTGACTCCATGCTAGCCCCATGTACTGCTGACTCCATGCTAGTCCCATGTACTGCTGACTCCATGCTAGCCCCATGTACTGCTGACTCCATGCTAGTCCCATGTACTGCTGACTCCATGCTAGCCCCATGTACTGC